ATGGCTCATAAACAGAGCCGACTGGGCATATTTTTATACCATCGCTCAGTCTAACTTAGAATGACTTATGTACCTTGAACATTGATGTTGCTATCAACTACTTCACTGCGTTTTTGATTGATGCTGCAACAAAATGCATCCCACAAACAAATGGACACCCTGGAAAACGGCGTGTGCCATGGTGGAACTCTGAATGCCGAAACGCGCGCAAACAGCAAAACAGAGCTTGGAGGTTGCTTCGGAACTCACCGACAACCGAAAATCTTGACATTGACACCTTCAAGAAAATAAAGTCTCAAGGCAGAAGAACTCGTAGGCAGGCCAGAAGAGAAAGCTGGCAGAAGTTTTTGTCGGGGATCAATTCATACACACAGGAGGCTAAAGTCTGGAACATGGTCGGTAGGATAGCAGGAAAACAAGTACACACACTCTCACTCATAAATACTCAGGGTGATACCTTGGAAGATCAGGCAAACTTCCTCGGTGCACACTTCGAACAGGTGTCCAGCTCGTCCCACTATACCGACACTTTCCGAAAATACAGAACAAGAATAGAAAAGCAGAAAGTCGAACACAAATGCACTAAATACGAGGCATATCCAAGCTTTCAGTCTAGCTGAGCTCTGAACATCTCTAAACTCCTGCAGTACTTCTGCCCCAGGTTCTGACCGTGCGGTGTATGAAATGTTAAAAAACCTACCAATCGAAACATGAAAAACCTTACTTTGTTTGTACAATGCTATCTGGTTTTCTAGCACTATCCCTACCTCCTGGAAAGATGCTATTATTATTCCCCTTTTGAAAGAGGGCAAGGACCCTTCTTTAGCTTCGAGTTATAGGCCTATTGCACTTACAAGCTGCTTGTGCAAAGTACGAAAAAATTATAAACTGCTGACTTGTACATTTCCTTGAAACAAACAATTTGCTCGACCCATTTCAGTGCGAGTTTCGAGAGAGTAGATCCACCACAGACCACCTTGTTCGTATCAAGGCACAGATCAGAGACGCCTTCGTCCATAAACAATATTTTCTCTCTGTGTTCCTCAATATCGAAAAGGCTTATGATACAACATGGCGTTTTGGAATTCTAAGAGACCTGTCCCACCTTGGCGTGCGTGGAAGAATGTTTCACATAATCGAAAGTTACCTGTCAAACCGGACATTCCGTGTCCGAGTGGGCACGGTTCTTTCCCAAACGTTTGTCCAGGAAACAGGCATGCCACAAGGTGGTGTACTTAGCTGCACACTTTTTCTCATCAAAATGAATTCCTTGCGCTTGTCGATCCCTCGCAATATGTTTTATTGTACATATGTCGATGACGTCCAGCTTGGCTTTAGATCTTACAATCTGGCAATGTGTGAGCGGCAGGTTCAGTTAGGTTTAAACAAGGTCCCCAAATGGGCAGAGGAAAACGGATTCCGACTGAACCCACAAAAAAGCATGTGTGTCTTGTTTTCCCTAAAGAGAGGCATGCACTCAGAACCCGACATTGATCTGAACGGTCAACTTCTGTCTGTTAATGCGGAGCATAAATTCTTAGGATTAATCTTGGTCAACAAATTGACCTTCGTACCGCACATCAAGTATATAAAAACAAAATGTTTAAAAGCCATGAATGTTTTAAAAGTGTTGTCACGTACTACGTGGGGTAGTGACAGGCAATGTCTCATGAACCTTATGGTGACCCCGCTCCTAACTGCAGCGGACGATCACCGCGGGTTCACGCTTAGCGAGCCACAGGGCTGCTACTCCGTTCACTCGCGTGTAGCGCACCGCTCCGCGCGCGCTCAACTGATAAGGCGTTTAGCGCGGCGCGGCAAATAGACAGTGTTCTAATGTAACAGTACACAACACTTTATTGCCTCTGGCGGCACCCCGAACAACAGCACAACGTCCGCTCCTGGGACGCGGGTAGCAAAGGCACCCGCACGCGGACGTTCACAATAAGGGGAAAACCGCGAGCACGTCGCAGCTGGCAATGGCGAGCTTTGACACGCCGGTCGGGAAAAGGTCCCTCGCGGCTATGCTGCGCACTCTCACGATGGCCACTGGGCCTGGTCGCGAGTGTTAGGGCAAACCTCGTACGCGCTGGGCCTACGGCAAGTGCGGCTCGTTGTGGTACGACCACTTCAAGCACTAGGCACCGCTGTGGGCTTAGCGTACGCTACCGAAGCTAGCACTCAAGTAAACACGCCTGCCGAGGTGCCCAAGGCCCCCCAGGCAGGCTGCAGTCCGGCGATTCCCAAAGGGGACGCGGACGAAGGAAAACACGTGCTTACCCGGCGCCGACCAACGGAGAAGAGAGCGCTCCCTCGGCGCGCGCGTACCGCGTGCCGTGCCCGCACGTGGCGCCATCTATCGCCACGTGGTGTTAACCAAGCAGGAAAGCAAAAGGGTGTGGCCGTGTGGCGGAATGCCCGCGAAATGGTCGCAGGCGCGCCTCAGATCCCCACAACCTGTATAGAAGCCTCATTTTGCACCCGCTTAGATTATGGGGCCGTTGTTTATCAGTCTGCGACTGAAAGTGCTTTGAAGATGCTGGACCCCGTGCACCATTTGGGGGGCATCCACATTTCTACGGGTGCTCTTCGCACCAGCCCCTAGAAAGCCTTTATGTTGAGTCAAATGAGTGGTCGCTTCATCTGCAGAGAACTTACATGTCCTTTGTTTATTTCCTTAAGGTGAAAGCAGACAAGAAGCACCCCTCATACTTTACTATTAATGATTTGTCGAGCTTCATTATGTTTCAAAAGAGGCCTTCGATGAGGCGGCCCTTCTCAGTTCGCCTGAAGGGTCTAGCTGAGGAAACTGGAGTGTCACTTGAACACAGTTTAATGGCTCCTGTAGTATACTCGCCACCGTGGCAGTGGCAGACTATAGACTGCGATGTGTCTCTTCTAAAAGTTACAAAACATGCGCCTATTGCCCATATCCGAACATACTTCCTGGAACTTCAACACAAATACACACGTCCCGAGTTCTTTACAGATGCCTTCAAGTCTAACTCCTCTGTGTCCTACGCTGCTGTCGGCTCATCCTTTTCGGATGCTGGCCCTCTACATCCAGGCACAAGTATCTTCACAGCGGAAGCTTATGCGATACTTGTGGCAGCTAAACACATCAAGCAGTTACAAATACAAAAAGCAGTAATTTATACGGACTCCCTCAGTGTGGTAACGGCTCTGCACACTCTTGAAAAACAAAAAAAACTCAGTCCTTGTTCACTTTACTCCATTTTGTGCAAACTCTACACACTCAAACAACATGTTGTAGTGTGCTGGGTGCCAGGGCACCGAGAGATCCAAGGCAACGTGAGGGTGGATCAGCTCGCTGCATCCGTCCACAGAAGCACTGCCTCTACACCCTTATCAATCCCGGCCCTTGATCTTAAGCCGTCTCTCAAACGAAACCTCAGGGACTACTGGCAGAGCAAGTGGGATACACACACACAAAACAAACTACACATTATTAAGCCACACCTTGGTCATTGGCTGCCAGTATCAAAATCGCGTCATACAGAGGTAATACTAACGAGACTCGGGATAGGACACACATACACGACACACACATATCTTTTATCCGGTGGGCTATCCACCATTGTGTGACAGATGTGGTGAAGCATTAACAGTCCTTCACATGTTAATCCAGTGCTAACACTTATAGAAACTCTAAGAAAACATTTTCCATTACCCTACCGACAACATATACCTTTACACCTTGCAATGTTCGTCGGTAGGGAACCGCTTTTTAGTCATAAATCATTGTTGGCGTTTTTAAAAGAAATTCGTAATTTTCATATCATATACCCGGGCATTCCGTAGCACGACCTCTCCAGAGAGTTTTTTGCTGCCGTGGCTACACAAGAAAGCACTTGCCTCACGGCCCTTGGACGCAAGGGTATGATCGAGTGAGGTACTTGTGCTAATGCCATACATGTCCACCATCGTTTTTCATTATCACCAGCTTTTGTCACCTATTCACACCACACACACCTTTCACGGCATGGTCATGATTTTATTACTTGTATGTTTTTACCCGCCTTACCGCGAGGAATTTTTTGGCCCTTATACAGCCGCTTATCACAATCATTGTCCATATTTTTAGTAAGATGAACTGGCGCTTTTTGGCCGTAAAATGGCCCTTGCGCCACAAAACATCAAACATCATCATCGAACCACTGAAAGTCTGAATGACAGACGACAAAACTACCCCATTTCGCATTCATTATATTTAAGCGGACAATTTACAGCGACTCTTTTCTGATATATAGAAGACGCCAAAATGGAAAAGCGTAGTTACGTTGAGATCGAAGTAAACCAAGGCGCACTTGACCATACTTAGTTGTTGCTGTCATTCCAAAACAAATGCAGAAAGCATATCGCGTAAAGAAAACCTGTAGCGCAAGCGTCGTTAGTGTACTGCTGAGCGACGAGCCAGACACAAAGCACACACAGGTTCCGCACCCTGCAGGAAGCTTGACATATTCATTTAGGTAGCGCACACACACCTTTAATGAACTGCTTTTCGCGCTGTCTTGCAAAATAGAAGGCTGCTACAAACTACCGTTTTCATTTTGGCGCCTCACTGTCGTGATGCACACTTCGAGGTGCTGATTGTCGCGTTTCGCCGATGAGAGGTGGAAAAAAGAAAGAATGCTGCTGCTGGGTGCGCCTCCCTGAGTGCATCTATAAGCTGCACTAGTTGCCAACATCGCACTAACAGAACCAGATTTATAGATAAGTTTATTCGTTGTGCCGCCCGCACCACTCACACAACTTGCGTTGCCACAAAAAAGCAGGCGGCGTCTGTAACGACGTCCCACAGATCGTTTCCAAGAGTTGCCATCAGGGGGCCGCGCATGCGCTTTAGAGGCATGCAAAAGGCACATTGGCGAATGTATGTCTGTGCAGGGATTACTGGGCACTCGTCGGCCCTTGCAGTCCCTTTCGTTGATTTTATTGTGGTCAGTCATTCTTGCCATTCGTTGCTGTGGTTGCAGATCCCCAGACTCTGGCAAGGGTGGCAGCAAACAGCCTCAGCCCGCCTCTGTGTGGAAGGGCTTCATCAGCATGCAGGAGGTGTCCAAGTTTGTCACAGCTGCCTACAAGGTATCCGGTCCTACCGACTTCCTCTCACAGGTGAGCCCACCCACAATGCTGTACCAATCCATCATGCAAGGATTGAATCACAGGACGTGGTAGCAGGCATTCGTGTGCTTGTTCTCTTCAGCATGGAAAGTTCTTCACACCAGGGTTTGCCAACAATTCATGCATTCACGTATGATTAATGCTCTTGACTCTTGGCTCAAGACATTTTATATGCACTCTCGGCTATCTTTTTTTTTTTTTTTGCCACATTGCTTTTACTTATGAGTAAGAATTAAATTAGAGGATACGAATGCCGAATTAAATTAAAAATATCAAATTGCTTTCTTGGGTGTGTCTACAAGATTTCAGGCAAAATGAATTTTTTTTTAAAATGCGATCATTATGAGGTCTGGATGTGGTGCGCTTTTGGAACAAACGCAGACAGTCACGCAGTCGGGCAAACCAACATGTATATATTTACCGTAATTACTCGCGTAATCCTCGCACTCGCATAATTCTCGCACCCCCCGCATCGCCCGAGAAAAAATACGATTTTTTTTTCCTCGAGTATTTATCGCACCCCCAAAAACTGCCGCAATAATATCGTCTGCTCGTTCCAGCCATTGATGATGATAGCGCGCACCATCTGGCGCCATCTCTTAAGCATCAAGCGTTCTATTGCACAAAGATTCAATCCAATCCAAGTCAAGCCGAAGTGGCCAGTGCGCGTGCGGCGTGTTTTGTATGTTGTGTCAGTAATCTTGGCACGTCATGGGGTGATACTGAAGCCACAAGGCTGCTTCAAGTTTCAAGTGATAGATCATGCGCTAAACAACGGCATGAGGGCCGCCGGTAGGCCCTTCGGAGCCTACAAGTATTGTGTTCGCTGCTGGTGACGGCAGCTAAAAGCCACCAAGACGCGTTGGGCCTGCCGTGTGCCTAAAACTGGGATCGATTGTAAACTTTATTTCTTCAGAAGGAAACTGCGGAGGATTCTGTTAAATAGCTATCAGCCCAATACTGACGTCCTACGCTTACCTTTTGAGGGCTCCTGTTGCGCGACGAATGCTACCGCTACGGCCGTAACACCCACAAGCTTTGCATTTGGTATTGTAATTCTAGACTATTTGCTTGCACTTTAAGTGGCTCTAATAAATCTTTGCTTGTGTTGAACCAGTGCTTTTAATGTTGAGGTAAGTTTTAATTAGTACTTCTCAAAGCTTGCTGTAAGTTGCTAGTGTGAGAATCCTGATTTGCGGCCACTTCGTTGTCTTTTTCACTCTCTGCGTTTTCGTGGGAAGTTTTCCCCGCGTAATTCTCGCACCCCCCAACTTGGCATCGATTTTCTGGCAAAAAAAGTGCGAGGATTATGCGAGTAAATACGGTATTCAGCCGAGGGTTGAGCGGAAACGCATCTGGTTCACGAACAGATATGAAAATGATTAAAACAAGACACTGGAGCTGAAACATCATTTGGTTGTTCTTTTTATTGTGGTCAGTGTCTTGTTCTAACTGTCTTCAATTATTCACTTGCTTTTACAAAGATTATGTCACACAAAAAAATTAGTACATCACTCAATGACATGCTAAATGTCACGATTACCTCGGAAGCACTTGCAGCTGATGGGATTGAGAGACGGGATGTAACATTGTGAGTGGTGAATTGAAAACGGGTCACAATGTCACACAGTAGAACGTAGTAGTATTTTTTAGAAGCATATACAACTTATTAAAGAATGTCCCTGCACACCAAGTGGACTATGCCAACCTGATTTTAAGTGGAATGTTTTCTCTGAAGTTTTGTCCAATGTGCTGACTTGACAATAGCAAAGTTAATGCTCGGGCATCGCAAGTCCTTTCAAATTTGGTCCACACATTTCTTGACCACATCAAGAGACGAAAGAAAGCTCCAAACATGTCTTACCGTGTTGACACGATTTTAAGTCGACCTCTGAAAACGGCAATGGCATAATAAAACAGGGGTGGGGGCGTAGCACAAGCATTTATATGTGTGTGTGTGTGTGTGTGTGTGTGTGTGTGTGTGTGTGTGTGTGTGTGTGTGTGTGTGTGTGTGTGTGTGTGTGTGTGTGTGTGTGTGTGTGTGTGTGTGTGACGCATTAACAAAGTGATTCTTGGAGAAGCCGACGAAGAGGAAGTGCGCGTGCATTAGAATAAACGCATGGCATCTCCGTTTTGTGTCTCCATTTTGTAGCGTCGCACAAGTCGACAGGATCGACAGTATCAGCGAGGATGTGTACAAACAGCTAAAACTTCAGTTGATGAGAGACTCCAGCATCATGGTCTAGCAAGTTGCATCAAGCATTCGAACTTTGTGTCGCGTAAACATTCTGTTACAAATTGGGAACATCATAAGGAAAGTTTATGCACATGTGCTGCGAGGCATGAGAACGCAATTAATTCTTGGCCTAGACAGCGCTTTGTACTTCAATGTTTCTGTAAATCTGGAAAGCAAGTCAGTGACATAAGCACATGAGAATATGAACCTTCCGCATCACAATGAAAAGAAAACCATTCAAGCCCCGTTGATGCGTACCCTGACTTCAGAAAACTTGTCAGAGCAAGTATGACGAGATATTTTCAAAATCTCGGACAGATATTGGGTGCATCACTACTGAGAAATATATGACCGCACTTACCAATGCTGTCCCTATTCGTCGAGCACCATACCGATGTTCACAGGCAGTTCACAGGCGATGTTCACAGGCAAACAAGTTGACGCTCTCCTCAAGCAAAGTGCTGTGAGGCCTTCATTATTGCCCTATGCCGCACCTGTCATTTTAGCAGAAAAGAAAGGTGAAGGACGCACTCGTCTATGTATTCACTACCGGAAACTCAATGCCATAACGGTACCAGACTTTCAACCAATTCCACGTATAGATGATATTCTTGACCACTTGGGAAAGGCGGAGTTTTTCACTATGTTGGACGTAACCTCGGGATACTGGCATGTCCAAATGCATTCTGACGATATTCAGAAAATTGCATTTGTCACGCCTGATGGTCATTTTGAGTGGTTCGTAATGCCGTTTGGGTGGAAGAACGCTCGGCTACATTTGAAAGAGCCATAAAATCAATAGTAGCGAAACATCAGCTCACCAATGTTAGTAATTACTTTGACGATGTGGTCGTATACTCAGAGACATTTAATGATCATATACGACACCTTGAGGCGCTATTGAAAACTCTCAAAACTGAGAACGTAAAACTCAAGCGAAAAAAGTGCCAATTTGCACGCTGCAGCATTGAATACCTGGGCCACAAAATTTCACAAGGAACAGTGACACCTAAGCAAAGTAATGTGGCTGCCATACTCAAATTTCTGACACCAAAACGAGAAAAAGATCTCCAGCGTTTTCTGGCCACTGTAAACACCTACCGTCAGTACATCCCCCACTTCAGCGATATCGCTCTTCCACTCACAAAACTACTCCACAACGGCAGTAAGTGGGTGTGGGCAGAAGCATGCGAGCAAGCCTTTCGTGAAATGAAGGAGCGGGTAGCTGAAGAACCGGTGCTTCACATATACGACCCTTCGAGACCATGTACTGTGTACTGTGACGCATCTGGCGAAGGCGTCGGTGCAGTGCTGAAACAACCTGATGACAAAGGCTAAGAACATCCTGTTGCCTACTATTCCCGCAAACTACTTAAGCACGAGATGAACTATGCTATTACAGAAAGAATGTCTTGCCATTGTAAATGCCATTGATAAATAGCATTGCTACCTTCATGGAAAGTCATTCACTGTTTAATAGATCACTCTGCACTCCAGTGGCTGAAGAATGTTAAAAATCCTCAAGGTTGTCTCTTCTGGTGGTCTTTGAAACTGTCAATGTATGATGTGAACGTCAAACATCAAAAGGGCGCAAGTAATGTCGAAGCAGATGCGCTCTCCAGAGCCCCAATAGTTAATCTTCTGTCACATCACGACCTTCAGCGATGTAACAGTGAGCGTCCAAAAGGAACGCATCCATTGGAAAATAACATCATCATCGTCAAAAGAAAAGGACTACGGAAAATATACGTGCGCCTTGAACTACGCCCAACCATTCTGAAGAATGCACATCAACATTTTGGGCATGTCAGAGTGAAGAAGACGCTATCACACCTGCCTCCGCAATATGATTGGCCACATATGGTAACTGATCTTTCCACTTACATTCGGCATTGTGATACATGCCAGAGATGCAAGAAGACGAAACAAAAAAGTTTGGGACGCTTGAATCACTGCCTCCAGCTGAAGAGCCCTTCGACCTCTTTGCAATAGACACCATGGGAGGATTTTCTGGATATGGCTCGTCAAAAAGGTTTATACACTTGGTTATTGATCATGCGACTCGCTACGTATGGGCGTTTGATCATAAACATGAGAACAGCAACGCCTACATTTCATGCTTAAAAATAATTTTTTCTTCTGGAAAACCACAGAAGCTCCTTTCAGATCGTGGAACAGGATTTACTGCAGGAAAATTCAACCAGCTTTTAAAACATAATCGTATACACCAACTATTCACCTCATCTCATCATCCACAATGCAACGGCATGAACGAGCGGACAAACCAGATTATCGTAACGAGGCTTAAATGTAAGATCAATGACGAACCACGGAAGTCTTGGACTAAGCTGCTTCCGGAGGTAATTGACGAATACAACAGAACACCCCACAAAGTGACCGGCTACGCCGCTTCCTTCCTGATGTGTGGAATTCCATCTTATCCTACTGTACTGAAACAACGAAAAGAAACTGTCGAAGAAGCGCGAAAAACTGCAGTTACCAATTCTATCGCCTACCACAATAAGAACAAAGTCATATATGATAGAAAATTTCTTCCGATTGAGTCTAAGTCGGTGACTTTGTCCTTTACGAGACACCATGGCATCCTAACAACGGGAAACTGAGTTCCGTCATGGAAGGACCTTACAAAATTCTACCCAAGGTCTCATCAATGAACTATGAGATCAACCGCTCCGTGCTACCCTTAGGTAGAAATTCTGACATTGTGCATGTTAGCAAACTGCGGCGTTATTTT